CCCCAAAACCCCAAAACCCCAAAACCCCACTGAATAACATTGAATTTAAATGTTAATAGTAAATTATCTTATTACTGATCAAATTAATTTAAGGATGAAACAATTTTTCTCCTCTTACTTGATATCATCCATTAGATGTTTGGATATTTTAACTAAATCATTATTCTTTCTGTGATTGTAGCAAAGAAACAGAGAGTAGTCTTATTTGTTTTATGTTTAGCATATCAAAACATATGAAAAGTCCTAAAATAAATTATTAAAATCATTTTTTTACATCTCTTATGTCTCGAGCTTCAAATGATCCTTTTCTGCTTTATTGCAAGTTAATAGCTTCATACTGGGACCATAGCTTTTCGAATATTCGAAGTGCTCTATAAATCAATCAAGCGATGGATAACTTACTAAAGATGCATTTCATTAACTTTAGTTAACAAAGGGAAGTTGTATGTTGTGTACTGATTTAATAGGTTGTTTCTTATTAGTACCATATTAATTTCTTTCATATCTATAAACAGAATTGAATAAATTTCAAATTTCTTACCAAATTGCTCATACATCTAAATAGTACATTTATCTATTATTTCTAGCAATCCCCTTTCACTTATTTCTTTGAATATTGCAGCGGATGATACTTTACATTCAAAGAAAACTTCACTGGCGTGATCTGTGCAAACAATGATAATTCCTGCATTTGGTGTAACATAGTTGATGTATAGATACAATATATGCTCTTCAGCAATACCTGATAAGTAATAATATATAATAGAAACTATACCTGGTATGCATATTGGAGTCCATGTTTCTGTATTTTTCATTGACGGGTTTGCAAATATATAATTTAAGATCACAGTTATATCTCTTATAAAGAAACTTAAACATGTTCAAATTTACCATGAGGTTTAATGTAATCAATCTATGTAGGGTCTGAGAACAAACTAATAACATTCAAAGCTGATACCAGTAGCCCACAACTAAAAATGATATTGGTTGAAATTATTACGCAAAATTCTAAGGCTTATTTATTTCAATAGCTTTCTCAATTGCTTTGCGAACATTTTCTGGCATCCTTAAAGGCTAAAATGCCTCTAAAAATATTGATGGACTCTTAACTCCAATTTCACACATCATATCAAGCGTCCTCTCTAAACCAGCAATCGATGTCTTTATGTCTAAGTTCGGTCTCTTTGTTAATTAAGCATTTACACTTGAAGTCATTAGTGATACAAACTACAACACAATATGGGTTTAAAATAATGATTTTAAATTACCTGCAAATGTAAAAATTCTAATTATTTTCGAACAAAGCTAGACGTCTCTCTGGCTTTAAGAAATTTTACAGGTTTCTTTGTTATATCATCATCTAAAAATTTGCCCTTTCCATAGTTTGATAAACACAGATACAGGAAATTTCCTTTCTTTAGTATTGCTATTTAAAAATTTTCGCTTTCCAACCACCTGACTTTATTACTTTGCTCTTTTGCGTTTTAATTATTGTTCCAAAAGTAACTCTAAAGTTTTGGGATTATAGCACTCATGGTGGCAAAAAATGGAGCCATAACCATTTCATCACCAAATCTAGTATATACTGGCTTACCTGCTTCAGTAAATATCAAAAAGTTCTTTCTTATTTTATAAAATTCCTCCAATTCCTCCCCAATTTCAATAGATCTGATCGTGGGATAAATATTCTCCATGTCAAAGTATGATGTCTAAGGGGTGGGACTAAGCTATCATTTAGAAACTCCATTCCCAGCTTCTTATTTTTTAACTGAGTTTGATCCCTCTTTAATTTCCTCTCTGTTATCTATAGACTGTCTTCTACTAGTATTTTTGCTAGGACTATTTGATTTAGAAGGTGACTTATCTTCATTTTAGTTATTGTATGATTCCATTTCAAAATAGATATTAAAATTACAAAAATTTAACTAAAATTATTAAATTAATCAATTCCTCATTGATTACATCACAACTCTATATCAATCAAACTTATTTGGTAACTTGAATTTAGATTTATCTTGCAACTCTCTCATTACTCTCAAAACAACTTCGTCTTGATTCTTATTGCCGACTAATTAAATGCTAATTGGCAGTCCACTTGAATTTTTCATTGACTTTTAATAGCTCATTTCAAATAAGTTACGCTAATGATCTTTATAATCAGTTTCGTCATTATTTACAAGAGTCTAGGTAATTACTCCACTAGGCATGTCCAATGCATTCCAATATGTTGAATAGGCATAACCTCTAATATAGTCAAAACCAAAATCGTCAATATGTGGAGCGACTGTTGGATAAACAGGACAAAGGATTAAATCTGCATTATATCTCTATTTAAGAAAAGCCTGAGCCTCTTATTTCAGTTCTTCTAACTTACTTAGATCGGCTTAAAGTTCAGAAGCTAATTTATATTCGATAAAGCAATTTTTTAACTCAAAATATGATTTATGTGCTTAGCCTATTTTTAGCTTGATCATTTTTCTTCCAAATCTATAAGTTCCATTCAGAAGTTCCTTCAAATAAATGAACTAGTCATTTTATTCGCATTACTTGACTATCTTGTTTTGCTTAAATGACAAATTCATTTGTAGTCTCATAATTATCTTGAATATTTCATCAAAATGTGGTAAGTCTCCTTGAATTTTTTCAAGTTGGTAACCTAGACTTGCAAGATGTCCATATGATGTCAGAATAGCTCTCTTAATAGAAGGACAAGTATCGATAAAAGATTAAGTGTCAAGATATAGCAGCTTAAGAGGTCTTTCTCCATAATAAATATCATTATTTAAGGGGATCCTAAGTACGTGTGGGGATTAATCGTATACTTTATTAAGGTAATTATCTTGAAATAGTACATCTAAAACTTGCCTGATATCTTCAGTCTTCTTAGATATAAAACAAACTCTCTCTTAAATAAATGAATTTTAGAATCCAGTCACTTTAGATCTCACTTACTGCTAATTTTTGTTTATTGATTCTATTGGGAATCTAGATGGAGAAGGAGAAAAGCAATTAACTCCATTAAACATGCAATTTACCTTTTACTCTCCTAGAAAATCTACACTAATAGCAAAATTAACTTGCTTAGTAGCAATAAGTGATGCTTCAGTCGATGAACCACATATTCTAATTTAATCCCATGGATTAACTGACTAATTCCAAAGTTTATTATGTGCATCCATCATTGGTATACAGCCTTGGGAAATATTAGACTTTAACAAAATTAATGCACCTTGCTTTTATAAATATTCACTGAGGAGACTATCATCAGTATTCTGATAAAAAGAGCTTTATACAACCCCATAATTAGATTGGAATCCTTTTACCTGAATAAAATCAGAAACAGCCACAATTAATCCTAGTAAGCTTTTTTCATTCAAGATCTGTTAGAAAGGTGATTTTTACTTTAATTCTTTTACATCATCCACCTCTCTAACTGTCATTAACGACTGAGGTGCGACATCTTCCTCTTCAATTTTAACTTCTTCTTACTTCTCTTCTTCTTCTTGAATATCAAATTAAATCTGATTCTAATTGCTTTATGAAATCTAAGTTTATTTTACAGATTCATTCTGTTACATATTTTGAATGATCCCTTTACTCTTCTATTCTATTTCTCTAGCAAATTGGATCATTTCTTATATACATTTATTAAGCCATTTTGATTATTCAAGAGTGAGCTTAAAATTTTGCTCTCCAAAGATATTGTACTTAGCATTCTCAATTATTTACTTGAGATAAACCAATATAACATCTTCTATTGTGAGAACTTCTAGATTTTCCTCTAGTGGGTTATCGGATGATATTAATTACTCGAGCAATTTCAATTGCAATTCTGATAAAGTTAAGTTAAGAATCATGTCTTCTTTGCTTTTTGATAATTTAGCCTTTTTGAGAATTTTTTTGCTTACATATTGTATATCCTCCTACCTTTTCTTGTGTCTTTCATCAGCTATTACCTGAAGTTACATCCGATCGTACATCAGTCTAGACTAGCTATATATCTTATACGAGAGAAATGTGAAAACAACAGATGCAGCTGCTAACTTGGTCTTTGTAGATGGATGAATTTCCTCACTTATGTATTCCTTTGAGGCATCCAAAATATTATAGAATGACTAGCTAATTTTGTTTAATATTTCTGACATTAATTGCTTTATAATTAATTATTCTATGGTTGCAATAATCAATTCTCTTGGGGTTTTGGGGTTTTGGGGTTTTGGGG